CCTTTCTATTAGCTTAATAGAGATTTAGTTGCTACATTCTATTTAACCTCTTCAGTTAGTTAAATATAATATATGTAGGATCAGACTCAGGAACAAATGAAATGTCATTGGAAGATAACAATTGTTTGATAAATACACGTTTATAGGCAAGTTCATATAAATATATTCACTTTTCACTAGCTCAGATAGAATAAAAATCAACAGTAGAAAGTTTTTGTTTATCACCAAATTCTCTATGGTATTACAATAAGATAGTATTTAGGTAGGATAATTAATTATATGAAATTATTCCCTACCTTCCTTTCAGCTTATTCCTATACCAACTAACATCGGATTTCAGAGTAGACAGTGGCTGGATATAATTAATATATGTACAAACCACCTCAGTCTATGAAGAGTTAAAGAAATTATCGACCAATTTATTATTCTTTCCTTAGTATCCTCTATCTAACCTTAACATTGTTCACTCGATAATTCTAACATAAGCAAGCAGTGCATCAATGACACCTATAATCAAATAACAGAAATCTACGATTCTCCTCTAATTTTAAGGATCGTACTTCGCAACCACAGATGAAGACAGAGTTGAATACTGAACATTATATTCGCCTCATCGTTGGCAATAAGAAACTCTTAAGTTTTTTTCAAGTTGATACTTATCAGTAGGATGTTTCTTTTATTTCTTCTATGGAATTTGAACGTACACCATTCAGTATCACCGTCAAAGAAGTTATCACAGATTTTTTCATGATAAGGAGTACCAGCTAACATAAAACTTAAATCCACAAAATTTTTTCAAACATTTTTAACTACCAATCCATATGAAACATAATCCTTGTGATCTCGAGTCACCACAACTTGTGTTCACGTTGTAAGTTCATAGATAGTATACGATCAGTATTACTGGTCGGAAAAATATAACATTAGTTGTTATTTAATGGTCAGCAACATTTAAGTGTATTAATAACTAACAGATTAGGTCTCATTTTAATCGTTTAAATAGTTACATTTCGTAAACTAATGATTGTGCACAGTTTTCAGAGTTCCAGATGAACAATAATTAATTTCTTCGAATCAGAGCATTAGCACACTTGGTCTATCACAGTGAACATCAACAACAACGATGTTTGAAAATGTAACCGGAAGTTGTTGAAATGTCTTTTCAAGTTAAATAATAGAATATTCTTATTCAGATCATTCATTATTTAACCCTTATATTAGATATAATTTTCATCTAGACACATTTATTATTTACATAACTCATCATTCTTAACCTTAGTTCTATAAGTTAATAAATTTCATAATATTTATTATGATCAAAAATCAGATAGCAAATTTTATCTGATTCATAATATAATTCACTTTATAGAAGTGGGCGGAAATAAAGACAAATTCTATTGGAAGAGATTGGAAAAATTTAATAAGTAAAAGATCCAGAACTTATACTGAACATTTTTTAAAAAAAAAATTGTCGAATTGTGGATAGCAGTGGAGTCTAGAATATAGTTTTTGTCCTGACTGAGCCTCTTCAGATAAATATATCACCATCCCACTACTGATGTACACAATGGTAATCAAACCCAAACCTTTCACTTTAAACATTTACCAATAATGATAAAAACATTATAGTTATTGAATGAGTGAGTAGCTATTTAGGTTCAGAATTTCAAGCTATAACACGTTGAAATTTAAAGCACGAAATATTGGACTCAAGAACCAATGTAAAATAACCAAGTTGACTAGTCTCAACTTAGACGTTTACTAAATGTCTTTTTACAATATTATTATCACAGTATTCTATTTACTGAATAGGTGTTGATAAATGATATTAGAGATCTATGTTTCAATTTCTCATGTTGTGAATCGTTTTTCTTTGAACTATAACCAACATTTTATAAGAATACTGAAATCTGTTTAACACAAAATATCTCATACTTTCTAAATAGAAAGACAATAATCATTCACAGTTCATTGAGTTATTGAGGAGCTTATGAGTGTAGACACTCATCGGATATATATCATCTTAAAGAGACCTCCAATCAAAAAATTATAGTGCGTTATTGAAATGATGAAAATTTCAGAATGGAGGATTTAATGTTAACTAAGTAAAAAACATCTGTGAGTTTACTGATTATACTATATTCAATTTGACTAATTAAACACTAACTACACATAGGAGTTTTGATCATATTTTGTCTTCTACTGATTCAGATCACCAGTACTTCCTACCTTCTAGTTCTTAACAAAATACATACCCCATCAAATATTCGTAATGAATAAACTTATCATCAAACGGTCGGAATTTATCTATTTTTGAATGAATAATATACACCTCACCATTATGTAACCAATTTAGCGAAATCTTATGTAGTTAATGTAGTACCTATAAAAATAATTAACCCATGAATGGAGCCTATAAATTTATATTGAAAAACTGTACTTATGTGATGTATGCTACTTATGTCGACAGGCATAAGTAAGATAGAGATCATGAACCGATTGATGTTAGACCACCATTGAAAAACTGTAAGTCCTGGATGGTAGTCTTGTATTTGCATAGATCTCCTCAGCAGTGTACAGTCACGATACCGCTCATGGTATTCGGACCCAGGATCTTCGGTCTTGTGAGCATACGCTTAACATGCAGACAACTGAACCAGCATCCAACGATGTTAATGTTTTACTTCAACCAATTCATGATGTCGCGCGAACATTCTTGGGGTTCTAGTGAGGAGCCGTGACCAATCGAGTCAATCCATGTCGGTTAGAGACAGGCACTTACCTCAGACAATTGAAGGTGGTCACGTGACATCCTGGATTGATTGATGTTAGACATTAACACCATCGGATGCTGGCTCAGTGGTCTAGTGGTTAAGCGTACGTGTACGAGACCGAAGTCCTTGGGTTCGAGTGCCGCATGCGAGATCGCAGATGCTCACTGTTCTGGAGTCCAATACTAGGACGAAAGCTACCGTCCAATGCTCCCAGATTTTTAATGATGGTCTAGCTTACATTGACTCATGATTTCAACTATTAGACATATTATTCATGGGATACTTTTTATCAAGCTGAATTTTAGCGGATGATTAAAACAATAACTACAGCGAAATGAGTAATCCCATGACATTCGCATTTAAGACATTTTGTCAAATCTAGAAGCCTAATTTAAGTCAAGAAGCTGGTCAATGTATACTTTTCTCACACAAATATTCTTCACTTACTAGTACACGAACCAGAAAACAGCTCACTAGTCTGGGTAAATTTAACATTCGATTAATGTTACCGACTTACATACTAAAATCATAGTCTCATCATTTATTTAGACACTTGTAAATTTAAAATTTCCATCTGAAAGAAAAATTTCTTCGCTAAATGCCCATCATGAAACCTAAAAATCAATCTCGTTGACATTTTGCAGTAATGTTTTCTTACTTATTTAATTGTAAGGAGTTACATATCACCACCAAGTATAATAGTCATTCTCATATTTAAAACCGTTATAAATCTGTAATTCATTATGTCATCTTAGTATGTCTCTGTCATCCACCATCATTGAAAATTGTATTGTAAATTGAATGTTATTTGTTTATAATTCAATATTCTATTCAAAAATTAATCAAAAAATTGAAGAGAGCATGTACTTATTCAAAAAGAAATCTGTACGTTTCCGAGTAATACAAGGTTTTCCAATCTTTACATGAATATACTTATTGCATTTTGTATTTGAAATACAAAGATCACATAGGTTTAATTCAAACTCAATGATTGGTAAATGAGTAGAAACTAGTGCCTTACTGGTCAAGTTCTCAATTCTCACCAACTTAAAGTGTGTTGTGACAACTAATCTAATTAATAACTAACGATCTATGACTGTAATAGCAAATCGTCATAAGTAATCTGAAGGAGATCATAGAACCAGCTTTTAATCGTCTCTACGGACTAGACAAATATGAAATATTATATATATATATATATATATATATATATATATATATATATATATATATATATATTAATTCGTATGGATTTACTGAGAAAATATCGATACTACTGAAGAGGAGCTGTAAGTTCAGTTAATTTGGAACTGCATTGTGTCAGTTCATATCCTAAAGAGGAACATAATTACGCTCTAGGTACCATCTATACCTTGCTAACAAAATTTAGGTAGCTTAGATTCTATAACTAGACATTCCTGTCGATCAAATACAACAATGTAGTTAATAAAATATATAAAACTTGTTCGTTTTTTGATTTTTATATCCAATCAAATGCAACGTATTGTTCACACGGATATATATCACCAATTTAAGGCGGTCATTATCTTCGATGATAGGATAACAGAAGAAATTTTATCAGATTAATAATAGTGTTTGTGATAAAGAATACTCATTAAAAAACTGATAGATATGTATATTGATGTATACTAAACTTCAATCTGCTTCTAAAAACAATGAAAACTATCGATTCAGTAAAAAGAAAAAAAATCAGATTTCACTGAAATTACTTAGCAATTATTCTTCAACTGATATCAATCAACTTAGAAAACTACACAACATCAGTAGTGATATTTACATGTTGATAGGATTCCATCTGCACTAAGCTCTACCTGACATACCTGACATTGATAACCACTCAGTGATCAATCAATTGTAAATATTTAAATTTTCAATGCAAACAATAAGCAAAGCAATTGTATTTGAATATATTTATTTTTATTCTATATGCAATTCAAAAAGTGAAAAATTAATCAAATCAATGAAAAAAATCGATAAACAGATCAATAAATCAAAATACAGTTGATAAATATAAGAAAATATACAGAATAAAGATATTTGATGAATCTAGCTTTTATCCTCTTAAGAACTGGGATAATAAATACAGAGATGAAGAACATGTTCTTATTCATACTGCATTTCATTACATTCAGATGAGGAAGAGGATGAAAGAAGATGAGCTGATGAAATTGAAATCTATTCAACAGATCATATAATTGGATGATTCTATTGATCAATAAAAGTCAAAATAATTGATTGATTATTTCGAAATAATTCTTGTAAATCATACATATCTAATTGTTTACAATACATTCCATTGACTTGAACAATTTCATCACCAATATGAATATGATTGTTTTGTTTTAATCTTTCTGATAAACGTGTGATACGATAACCTGAAAAAAATGGAAATGAAATAAATATGTATCAATAAAATTTATATATATATATTAATAACAATAATGACATGTATCAACGTAACTCAGTCAGTCAGTCAGTTACAACGTAGGACCAGGCATATATGTGCATCAGTCCAAGTTGCCATACATCATTAGCACAACAAGATGAACACTGGATTCATAGAAGTGGTTAATTTAGTGGTGGTAATATATAAAACAAAGTTTGCATATAAGGACATAGTACAGGAAGAAAGAATTAGTTCGTAGAAAGAAAGATATAAAGGGATTTTAATGTCATACTTTAACGGAAGATAGCGCGTGTATACACCCACGTCATTGTGATCGATTCTGAGCCATGTCATACCTCTAACAGCACTCAAAATCACTTTATTCATAATCAATCTCCCTCTTCAATTCCTGTTATCAACATAACTGAACACATAATGTAAATCAGTATTTACCTATTCTAGAGATTTGATAATAGAATATAATTGTCTATTTTATACAAAAATAACATACTACTGGTAACTATTAATGAAGAAAATAATAACTGAAAACTGCAAATAGAATCATATTTTTGTCTATTGTGAATAATGTTCGCTGTTAAACTATGCATTAATGATTCAAATGATATTGCCTTGATGAATAAAACTGTTTATCACTTCTACCATTCTCGACATGCCTTAATTCCATCTACCATTATCTATCTAACAGAATATTGATATCTATTATTTCGAAATTCAGTTCAGTAAGTTTTTTCAGTAAATCAAAATGATTTCATTCATCAGTATCTTACCTTGTTCTGATTTGATTACAAATAAACCAAACTGCTCATCAAATTCACGTCGTGACAATATGACATGTCGAATAGTTAGTGCATATTGACAACTGTCATCTGAAACTATCATTTCATTAGTCTTGTCAACTAAGATTTTATTTGATTCACATGAATATTCTTTTGTGGGTGGAGTATTTCGTAGTGAATCTGAATGAATCAAATGTTCGGTGTATCGCTTCAACGAATTTGGTTGATCCGAGTGATCAACATTGTGATATGAACTGTTTGAAGTAAGTGATATATTGGGATTAGAATATTTCATTGCTTTACAAATATTACTGATAGTTTGTTGTGCAGACTTCCTGATTCCTCGAAATATACTAGGATTCTGTTGAACTTCTGAGTTCGAAATTGGATTTTTCCTATGCACACTATCGTTCTCAATGTTTAGATATTCAATCGGAGATTGTACAGAACTCACACTTCCAGTACTACAACGACGAGAGCATGACTTTGACGATACTTTACTCCATCTCTTACATTTCAAAGGAAGACTTTGTCGTTTAGTTGAAGAAACTGAGGACAATGTTGCAGATGATGATGATGTTGAGGAGGTGGTGATGTGTAGTGAATCACCCGACTGAATTCCACAATTCCGTGCAGTCGTAATATTCACTGCATTTGAAGACTGATCGATATATCTAACAAGCGGACAAATGAAACAGAACACAATTAAGCAATATCAGGTGACCTTATCTGCATAATCAACAAGATATGAAATTCAGTTAAGAAAGGATGAATGATGAAGTCGTTTATTGTGACTGATAACGCATTTCACTCGTTATTTCCTCTGTCAATGATTATCACATGTCGGAGCAAGATCGAACTGTCATAACAGAAATAATTGAACACCTATTTGTGTTTTATTTCATCTGATGGATCAAATAAATGCTGACAGTGAAATAGTGCACTCTGAAATTAACCAGTCACCAGTTTCAGTAGAAATCGAAGTCATAGGTATCTACTGGGCATATGAAGTAAATGAAGTGATTTTCTAAGGGTTGTATTGTGGGTGGTCATATCAGTTGACATTTTGTTTGAAATATTAGCCTGAACTGAATTCATACGTTCATATATTTTAACGCATAGTTATAAACTATACAGTGTTAAGTGACTCGTTATTTGATCGTATGATTGGTTGTTATTGAAATACATATGTCGTCTATCCTCGTACATAATCATAGACTTAACTCGCGTTAATGCATAACGGAATTAAATAAGTCAAATACGAGAATGAAGTTTTAAGTAAATATATTTGTTATACTCATATCGACAGACAGTCAGAGGGACGAAGCAAAATGACGCTCAGTAGAGAAGGCACGTAAGTCAACTCGATTTAACCAAGCGTTAATCGATATTAAGTTACAGACATGTGATGAATAGGAAAAGAAATGCACAAACCTGCGCTCATATAAAAACAGTCGAGGTTGATAAGTGAATAATTATTAAGCTCAAAATGTGATTCAAGAAGAGTGAATAGATTGGCCTGTCCGGCAGCTGGAATAAGTTATGTGAGTTTAACGTAGCAACTGACATTGCAATTCCATCCAATATCCATATCATAGTGAACATTATTATTTTCACTATCAACCCACTCAGGAACTATCTTTCGTCAATCCTACATTTATTTTATCACTCTTATATTCGATATCGAATTCTTGTACAATTTACAACTGCATCATTCTCCACTAGAAGCAACTTGTGTCAATTATTTTCAAACTTGCGGAACGACTGATAAAATTGGTGGTAATTAAACCAGTGAAGAATCTTTTCAAACTATGATAATGTTAATGAATCTTATTATATTAAGAACAACCATAATGTAGGTCAAATCTCATGTATAATCAAAGGGGAGGAGATCTATTCCGTTAGAAACCAATATGGAACATATGTCAAATAATATTATGGGAAAGTTTGTTCAAGAGAACCACTACACAATGTGTTCTGGGAGAAGTTTCGTGGATGAAGTTTACAGGACACGTAAATTTATGGAAAATATGGACATATCAAATAATATTATGACTTCAGTGTTTATCAATAATATAAATCACAAAGATTATCTTATTACTAGACAGCGCCACATATTTAGTGATATATCTTACCTGTTTTCATAGTTAATTCTTTGTGCTTTACAGAATTCATCAGTACATGATCGTTTTACCGTAGTTTGTAGAGCTTTAAGAGGAAAGGTTAATCAAATATTATATATTAGAAACAGTAAAATATAGTGAGTGATTTTGTAAATTCACACATTCATTTATCAAGTTTTGTTGACTTACATTTATCAAACTGTAAATACTGTTCATTTGATCTAGATAATGCTGCATCTTCGATACTGGATCGTCTTTTCATACCAGGAACTGTACAAATTTTAGTTCGTTTGCATGTAGAATATTGATATTCTGTAAATGTGACAGGAATATTTTCCGTCATTCTAGATCCTATTAAACGATTTTTAGTCTGATTCCAGGTTTTTGTTTCTTCATGAGATGAATTATTTTTCTTTTCCTTAATCCTAACAAAAATTAAGAAAAATATATAATAAAGGTTTGTGTTATAAAACATATTACCCTTTATAACCATTAAATAAATCAATGTTTATAATCAGAGAAGGGTTTTTGTAGATATTATAGTAATTTAATAGTTGAATTCATGAGTCAATTGAAGCTAGGCCACCATGGAAAACCTGGAAGCACTGGACGTTCATTACGTCCTGGTATGGGACTCCTCAGCAGTGCGTTAGTGGTTAGTGAATGATAAATATGCAATTATGTAATGATATAATGAATCGTTTATTAAATGCTTTACGCTACATAACGTCTTTCATAACATCACAATAATTTTATTATTGTAATATGTCCATAATATACTGAAATAAATATTGAATAACTTAGTGTATCACTTACTGAATTACTGTAACTTATATTACATAACTAAGGATGAATTACTAACCCTCAATGACAGGGTCACATGTCATTGTTTTAAATGAATAGGGCTCTCTATTTTATTACTATTTAACAACTATGTGTTTGGGTTACATAGTTAACATAACTGAGGTTAAGTAGAATGCATTGATATATTATAGATTTTAATCATTATTAAAGCTAATCACTCATTAACACCGGTTCCATTAATGGGTAAATTGTAGTTTTTCCTACTTCAATAGGTAAAACATCAGAGAAAGTATAAGTACACTTACTCTTCGGATTGATATATATTATTGTTCTTTGTATTATGCACTGGATGTCTAGCTTTTATTGGTTGTCTCGTTGTTGGCATCATTCGATTCAATAAAGTTTGTCTTTTGGGTTTAAATGCATTTTGATTTTCATTCTTCTCTTTTTCTAACAAACGTTCATATGGCAAGATTGGATATGGTTTCAACAATTCTTTTGCACCGTGATCATTAACAACCAAAGCCTCATCAACACTAGTAGGACGAAATTTGTCTGCAATAATATTGGAATCATTTTCGCAGGACAAATTACAATCGTTGACTTTTCTATACTTGAAATGTAGTAGCCCCATACATGGAGTTAGGGGATACCGACGTAATATCTGTGGTTGGTCTGCCAAATCCATACAATTTTTTTGACTGTCAGGTACAATGCAATAATCAGCGTTTTTCTTCTCACTACCAGCAAAAACTGTATTAATTTCAATAGTCATTTCACCAAAAATATTTCACCTAAATATATAACGAACAAAAATTAGTAATGGATTACATCAATCGAATACAGAATCCGTAATCTAATAGAAAAGTTTACTGTAATGATTTAATACATGTCTATTTGAAACTAATGTAATTTCAGCAAAATGTATGATATCAGATATCTCCTCAGTGAATGTAAGTGATGATTCTATGTTCGATATCATTCTTATTACATAAAGCAATATTGTTCTGCAGATAATATCGGTGTGAAGTATCTTGAATAAAAGGAAGTTGATTATCTTAATAAACATATATAATGCGAGTGTATGGAAATGTCTAAGCCTTAGAGAAGTAATATGTTAATGAATTGCCTATCACAAGAATTCAGATGCCACTGAGATAAAAACTGAGAAATATTTAGTTGTCTACTGTCTTCTAATACAGTTTCAATTATCTTCTTCGATCTTAAATTATGATGAATTATATTAATAAGAAAGAATATAACATTCACTCATATGACGATAACGTGTTGGTCATGGGAGAACAGATGTATTAATGCATAATCCAATATGATTTTAAAAAACTTATTTCATTTCCACCTGAAAATTTAAACCGAAAACACATTCCTAAACCAATATATTCTAGTGTTTGGCGAGAATAACGAAATAATGCAACATGTTGATATAATTTACAGGGTACAAATTTGTTTACATTGACATTGTGTCATCATGTAAATGAATACTTAAACAAATACAGTGATTTATTCCACGAATATGATTGATGTCATTCAGGGTTTTGATGCTGATTTATTTACAAACTATAGTTTACCCATATGTAAGTCTAAAGGAAATATGATCTTATTACTTTACAATTAAGATCTTATTAATGAATGACCAGACTAGTGTATACGCAGAAACTACCTGTTGTTATGTTGAAGATAATGTCATTCATAATAATAACAATTGTAAAATAATGATAATAGTGATAATAATAATAATCGTTGTCTAGTCATAAGCCTTAGGATTAATCGCCAACTTGTAGTTAAGACTGTTCTATCCAACTATTTTCCAATGGAAATTCTATTCAGTCAGTAAGATATCTACAGTGCTTCTGTCTTACATTACCAATGGAATCGATTATATATTGGTAGTTCAGTTTTAAGAAAACGAACAATGTACGGTTCAGTAGATACTGTTCAATTAATGCACATTATTTCTGAATCATAATCAATCCCCTTATTATGAATATAAATTATCATCATATCCGGTACGAATAATATTTTCATATAAATGTTTCATTCAAATATGCCCCCAAATACCCTGGTACGGCCGAGAGTGGGGGGAGTCCGCTCCTTCTCTCGAAATGCTCTCATATGGCCACGCGTATATAGCCCCTGCCAGGGAAGTCCTACTCACTGCCTTCTCGTGACGGGGGTGTTGTTTACAAAAATGAGGACGAAAAGCGAATGTCCGGCGCTTTGACCGGATCCCAAACCAATGGTGCACATGGGCTACAGTATCCTGCGGGAACAAATGGCGTATGAACCAATCGTTGGTCACCGGCTACCATGGGACTGCATCTCCTCACGATGCTCCACTGCCTTGTGGATCAGATCTTCAGGTCGAAGGCTCGGGGTGTGGCCCCCTAAGAAAACCACCTGCTTCGGTTTGGGCACCCGAGCACTATCACAGCCCTCACACATATCAAATGAGATCTGTGTGGCGCATATGTATTTGGTGCCTTCTTGTACCGACATTTATGTGTTAAAATAAATAAATAAATAAATCATTCAAAATATTGAGTAACTTACACTACTTTCTTTAGGTTAGTAGTCCACAGAAAGAAGGCTTGTATGAAACAAGTGAAAAGTATCAGAGAAATACAATTTATGCTCGTAATAAAAATACGTATTTATATAGGTTGTTACATAATTAATATCGGTGAATCATTGGTTGATTCGTGTACCAAAGGAGTGTAAAAGAAATTAAATGGGAATATTGAAACATGAGATTAATCTGATTGGTTGAATAAATTTCATTTTATGAGTGCGATAATTTTGTATCCAGTAAAATCTCATATTGAGATAAAAAAAATAAACATTTAAACAATTCAGTATAATTATTCATTAACTTCTCACTAGTTTCGATTATTCAAATGGTCTGCTAATGATAGCGGACTTCCGCGTTAATGAACATAAAATTATACAAAACTTCCATAAATTCAACCAACCTTTTCCTTACTAAGTAATTAGGCTCATTACTGACATACTTTGAGGTGAATTTCTAAACTATCATTTGAGGAGTTATGACTTGTGTAGTCAATAACTAAAAGTACTCACCAATGACATATCTCGAATTAAATATATCCGGAAAATTCAAACCACTCCATTCTGACTTATTGCACGAGTGGTGACATAAACACCTTGTGACTTGAATATTTCCGGTCAAATCATATCAAGATGAATAATCGTCTAGTACTCCTGGCTACAGAATCTCTTACAATAGTTAAACTTTCAAATATATCTTCGAACCTCTTCATTTCTGTCTTCTGGATGTCATACTTAGATTATAAAGGCGTTGTCTAACTCCGAATATCTGTGGCATCTTTAATCCTCATCAACTTTTAATATAAAGTAATATTTGTATGTATATATAAAAATAATAAATCTGTCAAGGCAGCTTATGAATCAATGATCTAGTTAAAATTAATCCTGTTCACTTAAATGTTTATTCTAAATATTACTGAATTTTCAATTTCTGGCATTGTTTTTATCCTTCCATCGGTTTTCCATAGACATATACATTTAAATATCCCTTCATTTGGAAATATCTCAAACTGATAAGAAGTAAATGTAGATCTCTGTATTCCGACTCAGCAAATGAATAGTAATAAGCTCAATCTTTGATGCAAATATTATGTATGTTACAAGGTGGTATTTAGTCTCACATAAGTACATTTATATTATTGAATTCATCTGTTTGTTAACTCATTACTGTAACTCGGTTGATGACACTACATAAATTCCATGAACTGTCGACAGATTACATTTTTCCGTCTCTGAAGTAAAGTTGACAATACCTTCACATACAGTCAAGTTTGAGAGACTGCTGAAGACATATTTTCATTGGAATTGCCATGCATCAAAAGGTTGTGTGTTTTTATACGTTGAACTGTGTACAAATGAAATGAAATAACTTGGTATATTAGACAATTTCATCTCATAAATTTTTATTTTCAGTTATGATTACGACATTATTGGACTGGTTTTATAATTTAAACAATTACAAGGCATCCTTATATACAATAATAATGTACTAAACAGGATTTATGATTTGAACAAGTTCATAACGTTATACAGATAAATATGGATTAATCATTAGTCATTAGACAAAAACCATACATAATTAAACATTTAATGTCTTCATTATTATCAGAATGACAATTTGTGGAGATTGTAGTAATTTCAATAGTTGAACTCACGAGTCGATCTAAAATAGACCACCATTGAAAACTTGAAACCACTAGACGGAATCATTAGTCGTGAGCACCCAAGATCTCGCACGCGGGACTCGAGCACGACGCCGGAATTTCTGGGTTTGAGTCTCGCGTGTGGGACCGTGGATACACACTGTTGAGTCCATACTAGAAGGAAACGGCCGTCTACTGCTCCCAGTTCTTCATTATTGTCAAAACTCACTTTTATACATAAGTTCTCATAGGTAATATTTGACACTGAATCTTTTATTATGTAATTAACATTTCAATGAAAGTTCGATGTAGATGAGAGTGAAATCCGAAAGTCAATACTTATCCAAATGTCTATATATATGTTGGTCTACTTCAGTAATACATAACTACAACAGATTGACGCATAGAAACAATCCAAAATTTATTTAATTCATTGTTTAAGTATGTACTTAATAATTAAACATGTTTTATTTCTGTATACAGATAGAATTTGTCAACGTTTGTGATTATCTCTCATTAAAACTATGATCAAAGCAAGTGATTTTCATCACAGTATCATCGATTCACTGAAGCAAAAATGAATCAATCATCATCACCATTCTAACAAATTATCCCCTTATTATTAATTCATAATACAAAAATGAGTCATAGTGATTATGAACTACTGAATTAATTTATACAAGTGATGAAAGTTAAGAACTTAATGATTTATTTATATGAGGAAAATCTTCTGAGGGATGTTTTAAAAAGTATATAAGTTGTCCAAAGATATCAACCATGATTTAATCAACACTAGACTTTGGTTATTTATTCATATATTTACATTCACTAAGTAATATATATACCTGTAACAGATATCTAAGCCACAGACACTGGTGTTTTAAAGAGATGGTATCAATTGAATTGTGATCACTGTGTCCGAGAAAATGTTGCAAAAACCCCACATTATCGACTTAGTATTGCTATTGAATGTCAACAGTTCTTCGGAGGCAGCGATAATCTTCAACTCAGAAAGGCTAGGTTTCACAGACAAAAATATAACTACTCTCGTCGTCCTGTTGTAGACCCGAGATTTTACAGCCAGACTAACACCATTACAAGACCAAAGATGACCCAGATTTTTGTACGCCTTATGGCCTTGGTAACTCCGCCTGTAGCTCTCCTAGAGTTACTGCCGGTCCCAAGCCCGGATAAAGGAGGAGGGTTAGGCATAGGGTTAGCGTCCCCATCCCGTAGAAAACTAACTCGCTAAAAAAACGCTAATCAGAAAAAATAACTCAAACCATTCAAACTCTGCCCTGGGAGTTAGAAGGTCTTCATTTAGAAGAAATATGACGCCTCAGGGTGAAACCGAGTTCCTTCAGAAGCCATGAGGCCGATGCCCCATCTAACAACCAGAGCAACAATTTTTATAGGTACATGGAACGTCCGGACAATGTGGGAGACCGGAAAGGCCATTCAAATAGCAACGGAAATGAGGAGATACAACTTGGCAGTACTGGGAATCAGCGAAACCCGTTGGACCCAAGCTGGACAACAAAGGCTAAATACGGGAGAGATGCTGCTATACTCCGGTCACAAAGAGGAAAATGCTCCACACACTCAGACAGTTG